AAGATTTTAACGTACTCAAATATACAATTACACTCTTAATGGCAGCCAGATATTCAAGTGTCTCAAAATATACTTTCCTATTAAACATAGCAACAGCACCATACAACAAATTTTTTTAGAGTGGTTGCAGATCAATACAACATATTTAAAGTAAAGAAAAGATGTATAAAGGCTCAAGATATTCAAAATATTCCAAACAAAATAAATTGGATATAAAGTTCAAGTTTATGTGAAAATCTTGGAACTTTAGTATTCCTAAAGTTCAACCAAACATCAAGGAAATATAGATTCTCTAAGCCAAGAAGCAAGTGATTTTGTCGACCTCCTTAAAGAATTATCCTCTACTTGTACAAATATCTCTTATACCTTAAATACATACTCCTATAGTCACTTAGAGTCTGAAATTTAAAGTATGAGAATCAAAAGGGGGCCTAATTTGTCAAAACTATTCCTAAAGAAGAAAATCCGGGCAACACTTATGCCTTGCCTTGCAGCTCATTTTTTATACGGCAAACAACAAAAATAGATTCCAATCTTCACGAAATTGTAGGTCAATCTGACAATCTCTTAGCTTTCAGCAACATTTTGAATCAACTTAATCCGATTTCTAGAAAGAAAAAGTTATGCTCAAAATACTAAATGCTTGCTGTTCAAAAATGAGGTCAAACTCTTTGTTTTCAATTTCACTAACTAAAAGCTTAACTACGTCACCACACAGATTGAGTAAGAAGCTTACCACAAGAGAAAGAGAAAGTTTCTTCCAACCAAAACCTAAAGGCTTCAAAATAATCCTTTAACTCATATTGATTCTTGAAAACAAAACCTAATTTATCTTTTAAGTGGTAGAGATTAAGAATTTTATTCAATAAAGTTTTGATTTTGATGACAGTGGTATTTGTATGGATTGAGCTCTCCATTAAAGGGTTTGATAAATGAAGAAAAAGATGACTTTTTAGAAATAAGGGGCTACAACGTTAATGCCCTCTCAAAGGCTAAAAAGTTGTACCTTATTTTATAAGAGGTAAAAATTAATCTCAAGGATCAAATACCATCAAGGATCGGTTAAAATTTTGCTTCAGACAGGCAAAACTCCTATGTTGATTTTAAGAGACGTGAAATTGAGCATCAAGTGGGTGATAAGGTATTTTGAAAGGGCATTAACGTTGCAAGCCTACTTTACCAAAAGTCATCTTCTTCTTTTTCCTTTATCAAACATTGCTCTTGGTCTCATTAAAAACAAAACTTTATTGCAAAAAAACCTTTATCTCTACCTCTTGAAAGATAAACTGAATTTTGTTTTCAAGAATCAACATGAGTTAAAGGATTAATTTGAAGTATTATGTTTTGGTTAGAGAGAGACTTCTCTTTATCTCGTGGTATGCTTCTAGCTCAATATATGTTAGTAAAATAGTTAAAATTTTGGTTAGTGAATTTGAGACCTTAAAACTAAGAATTTAATCCCGTTCTTGAACTATACAACATTTGGTATTTGAGCAAAACTTTCTTTCCAAAACTCTGGATTGAGGTGATTCAAAGTTCTATAGAAAGCTAAGAGATTGACCTACAACTAAAAATATAACTTTGTTGTTTCCTGCATAAATATGAGCCGCAATACAAGGCATAATTGCTGCCCAGTTCTTTTAAGAATTAGGAAGAGTTCTGACCAATTAGGCCTCCTTCTGATGATACTCATCATGATTTGTCTTAAATACCTTTAAATTTCAAACCTTAAGTGAGCACTCGATTATGCATTTAAGGTACAAGAGATACTTGTACAAGCTAAGGAGAATTCTTAAAGAGATCGACAAAATCGCTTAATTCTTAACTTAGAGCATCTATACTTTCTTGATGTTTGGTTGAGCTTTAGGAACACTAAATCTGCAAGGATTGCCCATAAACTTGAATTTTCCATTTAATTTACGGAAAAGGGTCAAATATACCCCTCTACTATTGAAAAATGTCTAATGTTGCCCCCCGCTATACTATCAGTCCAAATATATCCCTAACGTCATACTATCGGTCCAAATATAGCCCTGAATCATAAAAGTGGTACAAACCTACCCTTCCTCCGTTAACTGCCTCCCTATGACAACAGTTCATTGCCACCTCACCATTACACTCCCATTTTCATCCCTTCCCCACAACCTTTCTTTCCCGTTCATTGGAAGAAAAATCACAGATCATACATATACAACAAACTATATCAAAAGAAATGCTAACAACTAAAGATAATATGAAACAATGTGAACTGAGAAAATTCTGATTTTGCTATTCAAAATCCATTTTATACGAGCGAAAATACATTTTGTTTTATATAAAAACTAAGCAAGGATACATGCAAACTAGTTTAAGGTTTCAAAATTGACCATGGTGAGAAAGAAAAACATCCTAGACACGAGAGTTAATTTTTTTTGTTTCTTTCTCTTCAACCACATTTCTGGAAGGCTGCCATTTTTTCTCTCTTTACGTTTTATGTTAAAATAAAAGTGCTACTAAATTTTCCCTAAATAGGTCTTACAAATTCAACGGCAACACAAAGAAATGCAAAATAAAACACAAAATTGTAAGGTCAAGTGAAAGGTACGTACAATTCCAGGATCGGTCGGAGAAGCAACAAGTATTTTGAAAAGCAAGAGGAAGTATAGGCAGTGAAGTCTTCAAAATAATGATAGAACTTCAAAGTAATTGAACTTGGTAGCTGCAAACGGGGTGAAATGGTGAGGTAGCAATCAAATGTGTTCATAGGGGAGGCAGTTAACGGAGAAGGGTAGGTTTGTAGCACTTTCATAATGTCAGGGATATATTTGGACCGATAGTATAACGTTAGGGATGTATTTGGACTGATAGTATAACGGAGGATAATATTAAACCTTTTTCAATAGTATAAGGGCATATTTGACCCTTCTCCGTTTAATTTATTTTGTTGGAGTATTTTGAATAGTTTTACATTCAATAAAATTTGTCTTTACTTTAAGTTGTTGTTTCAGTTTGTTGCTACTTTAGTACCCTATTTGCTATTTTAATTAAGAAAGCATGTTTTGAAACACTTCCATAATTTTGCTACCATTGAGGGTACAATTGTATAGTTAAGTATATGTTAAAATCGTGTTGGTATCATGTAAAGTACTTGTAAGACAATCTAACTGCCTACATATACTGACTGCTTGAGCATTGTTGCATTCTTTTTGGGACTTTGTTCTTCTTGTGATAGTGACGTTGTCGCTTATATTGGCATGCCTCTTGATACTATATGGATCTTTCTCCATTTTGACTTTAGATTTGGATTTCATCTTAATTATGGACTTGTCCATTTTAAGATAAATGAAAATTTATTTTAAACATGGTACTTGATTCTTTTGATTATTAGGTGTTGACCCTACTTGATTCGCATTGTCATTGTTTCTTGTTATCCGATTATGCTTGATGTGATTGCATGACGTATGTGTTGGGCGAATTTGACTATTTGCTAGATTTTTCCTTGAATTAGCTTTGATAGTTTTCTTGACAATCGAAATTATGAATATAAAACTACTACATGGTTTAATATTTGATTTTCTTTAAACATCGTACTCTTATTAAGTACGTGATGATGATTTAAACACATTATATGAATTTCTTCTTGTACTTTTTTTGATACATAGCTTATTTGTTAACATGAAAGGTTAGCTAAATTTGTATATTCAAGTTAGTTTGTATATTCAAGTTTGTTATGAGCTATTTATATTTCAAATGAGCATTAGAGAATTTAGTGGCTCCAAACCCAAAGTTTAAGTGTCACTAAGTTTTATACTTATTTTTAATAACTACGGTGCCTGGGCCAGCTTGCGTACACCTCAACTAATCCCACGGGATACTTGCTACTTCCTGCCAACAACAGGTACCAGGTAACTCTATCCACCAACGCTTGAACAGATGTGAAGAAATCACCCACCATTTTTTATCTCCTCTAGGATTTGAACCTAAGACCTTGTGGTTCTCAACCCACTTCATTGATCACTAGGCCACACCCTTAGGTGTCCACTAAGTTTTATACTTAGCAATAGTTTGTTGCTATCATAGGTGATTTACTAGAAGAGAAATAAGGATGACAAGATAAAACAGACTTTTAGAAGCTATCATGAAGATCACATTTGCATATGCATCTATATTTTTGTTGAAATTTGGGACTGGTATATGATTCATGTGACACATTCAAATGTAATTTTGAATGATCATTGTAAATAATCTTACAATTTATTGTATATGAAATTTTACAAAATAAACTTTTGATTTTAGTACGATGAAATGTTGCACCTTTTAGAACCCTTGATCACATGGGCCTATTAGTTTCATATTTGTTAGTACACTTGAACTATTTTTCTTAAATCTCATGAATGAATTATTAACTAATTTTTCAATATAGTTAGTGTGCAAATTTAGATATAACTACATAAATACATAACTTTCAAATTTTCAAAATATCACAATATGACCCTCGAGACTACCAATTTGGGAATAAAAAGAGTACTAGGATAGCAGACATAACCACAGACATTTAGATAGATAACAAGTCTCTTTTCACAGATTGCCCTAGAGTAAACAAGGATCAAGAGATGGCATAAAAGGGTCAAAGGGGCACAAGAGGTTGGAATTTCAAACATTTGAAGCCACCATAGTACTTTATTATTGATATTTCAAACACTTTTTTATAAGTGATATGTAGCAATATCCCAGTTTCTGATATACTTTTCCTTTTAAGCTGTCCCAAAAGAATATTATATTTTTCTATTAAGAAATAACTTAAATTTTAAACTTTTTAATTTTTTCAGTAAAATTATTTATAACCAAACAAGTTTATTAGTTTATTTTAGACCACATCTTTCTTAAATTCAGCACAGCCGCATAAATTGGACGGAGAGAACCAGCAAGAAGTAGATGTTGTAAAAAGTTACAGTCTTGATATCTTAGACTTTTTTCTAGAAAGCTTCCTACTTCTACTACATAAAGTAAAGAAGATTTACCTTGCTCAATTTGAAAAGAATTTTGTTTTCTGCAGTCATTCTTTGGAAATCTTTCTTCTTCTTCCACCTGAAGAACTTTAACCACCTTACAACCTGTCTTTTTCCCTTCAATTTCTTCCTTTTGATTTTACCTTCTCCAGAACTCTCTTCAACACCAGCAGCTGATTCCACAGCTTTGCCAAGCGTACAGAAACCCCGACCCAAATATACGCATCCAAGATCACATTTGGGTGCTCTTAGGTGTGACCCAACAGCGACTCCGCCAAGTAAAACCTTGCATTTTGCAGTAAAAGGACTACTAAACTATGAGATTTTTGCAAAATTATTTGTGTCTATGTATGTATTTTTGGAAAGAGAGATAAATTAATATACCTGGTTCTTTGTTGGGGTAAGGAATGGGATAAGAGAGGTTGAAAGATGAAGGGATTGGAAAAGAGATGTTTGAGCTGCCGTGATTTGCAGATAGTTCCCGGTAACAAACTTCTTCCAACCATTTTCACCGTTCTTTCTGCTCTTCGGCGGGAACCAGAAAACCGGAGTTGCGTTTTCCAGATATTTCAATGGGCTTCTGTTAATGCGTGTGGGCCTTACTTATAAAGGGGTAGAAATGACACCAAATAGCCACTCTAATAAGGGCTGCTATTTAAAAAGGAAATTTTACGTACACACCCTATTTATTATAATTTATAAATCAAAATTATTTTAAAATATTATTTCTATAGTTATCTTTTATATTTTATAGCAAAATATTATTTATGGTATATACTACAATTGAGGCATGAAATACGCTATTTATGCTACGTACCTATTTTTAAGGTGATTGTTGTTACTGTATTCATAAATACATGGCGCGAATACATGTGAATACATGCGCGTACAGCTGGACTGCCCTGAGTTTAGGCGCTTTTTACTCGTGAATACAGCAGCGCAAATACATGTGAATATATGCGCGTACAGCTGGACTACCTTGATTTTAGGCGCTTTTTGCTGCTATATTCATGGATACATGGCGCGTATACATGTCAATACATGCGCGTACAGCTGGACTATCCTGATTTTTAGGCGTTTTTTACTGTTGTATTCATGAATACGGTAGCGCGAATACATGTGAATATACTACCGTAACAACTAAATAGTAGCTATAGGAAGTAATTATGTATATGATAGTTATAGAAAGTTAACCGCCACTAAACAAAACAATAGTGATTTATGAATATTCCTCATTTAAACATGCACCTAGGGAACCACCCACTGTCGACTATGATCATTGTCGAGTGAAAAAAAGAAAATTGTCTTCATTATTACCTCTCCACATTTTAATCTATGTATCATACTTTTTTTAAGTTGTTTAAAAAATGTAATATTATACATTTAGTAAATTGTTAATTTAACATTTTAATTTTATCTTTAATATCAATCTCTTATATACATGGCATAACATGTTTAAGACCAAAAATTCAAAGATTAATTTTAGTAAGTTATATGTGTATGGGGTAAAATTGGTTGATAACTGTTGGGATATACTATTAACCATGCGGTTTAGACATAGTATTATATTTTGTTCTTTATGAAACAATTGTTTATTTAATTTATTCAATTCAATAAAGCACTATTTTAAATAGATCATTTGTAACATGTGTGTCCTTTTGATTATGTAGTAGACAATTTAGTGTATGGAGTCTTAGCTCATACACAGAAGATTAAATTGTTGGTTCTCATAATTAATAAACTATGTTCACAATCGAAGATATTATCGGACAAAATATCTTGATGATTGTAGCACAAGATTATTGTATAATTTGTCTTGATTATGGGAGTAAGTCTACTCCAACTTCTTGTGCTAGTATACTCAGTGTGTATTGAACGGACCAAGTAGAGAAAATGTATTTTTGTACCGAATACATATAAAACACTTTCTCTAATTCATTAAATGAGCTTATACTCCTAATCTTGATATAATTATTATGATCAATGTAATTTGTTTATTGTTTTGATTTATCAAAAGGTACGACTCTATTTAGAGTTAGTATATGCCTAATAAATTGGACAATAACAAATAACATTTGTGAAAAATAATTAGTTGATAGAATCCATGACTTGGTTTTTGGGTTTGATAATACCCCTTTATATAAGCTTATAAGTTTTCATGTGAAAATCCGGCTAGTGGATTTTGTATCCGTCACATGAGATAGTTTAAGCGGAATTATAAAGGATTTAATTAGTTGATTGAATTAAATTTTCAGTGATTTAATTTAATTAACTGGTATTTGAAATCTTAACATGGGGAGTTAAAATAAGTGTTGATGAATTTTTGAAATTCATATTGAGGAGTTCAATTGCAGTTTTTTAGTGGAATAAATTGCAATTAATTATAGTAGGATCTAATTCCTGCCTACTTCGAATTAGTACTATAATTAGTAGCCTCTTATTATTTCTGTGGTCCTTGCTATACCTAGTAATAACCTGGACAAACTTGGGTAAAAAGTAGCTTGGGAGAAAAGTTACCTTTTTGAGTTGGAGTAGGATTCTACTTATGGAATCCTACTCCACACGTTTTTGAGCCTATTTTAGGGCTTAATTTCGTGTATAAAAAGGAGACAGGTTTCTCCTGTTAACTAACCTAGAGTTGTATTGTTCTTGCCCACCCAAAAGCAAAAGTGTTCAAGGTTTTACTAGGCAAATAGCAGAAGACTACAGCCCTGGATTCTTGCTGCTTGGAGAATTTGTGCAACTATTTCAAGAGGTTAGTGTTCCTGATCTCATTATCATTGCGTTGTCTAGTTTACATGTAATTGATGCCTGATTGCATGCTTGTTTCCGCTGCGCATGTTCTAACAATAACAAGTGATCGAATGGTAAGATGATACGTGGAGTCGAAGATAGACAAAAGACATAGAAAAAAAATTAAAACGTGCGATTGTGTGACCGGTACCGGATGGATTCCGAAGGGAATGTAGACATCAGTAGAAGTTCAAAGATTCGCCATCGAACAACATTTAATGAGGAAACATTTGCTAGCTTAAATGAGCAGCTGTTACAGACAATTTTTGCATTCAAGGCTTGCCGTTACATATTCATCAATGACACTTTTATCCTCATTTATAGAAGAGCTTGATCCTAGGATCTTGTTTCCCTAGCTAGAACTATAAATAGTGGGGTTAACACCATTGTAAGGACACGAAATACTCTATACGCAAAAGCCAGATTTTACTATTTTGCTCTCATACTTTACTATTTAGCTCACTTTACCCGGGGTCATCGTTGCTTTATCTTTACTTTCACTTTTGTTCTCGGAAAGGCTGAGTTGAGAACCAGTCTTGGTATCTTCTTTAATTCAATTGCTAAATTTAACTTCAGTCTTATTTCTTTATCGTTTTTGGGTCAAATCAATTCGCTTATTTATAAACCATGTTACAAATTTAACTGTACCGTCTTATAGGTATATAGTTTGATGTCATCCGTGGGGAATAGACAGTTGCCTAATTGCTTTGATCCATACGTCTATTGCTAACAAGTTTTAGTTTTTTCCTTAGTAAAAATCAGATATGGCAGCTAACGATGTCAACAACGCATACAACGTTGAAGCACACATTGAACGGGAAGAATTGTCCCAGCGTGATGACTTAATCAGTGACACCCGTAACGAAGGTGATGAAACCACCCCGGTTCGCGAACATCAGATCCTGGGCATGTGCGGGACCCAACTCCTAATGATGCGGAGGAGGAATATGTCGTAGAGACGATCAAACTCCTCAGAAAACAACATAAAACAATCACGGATCTTCTCTCAAGGCAGGATAGGGTGATGATAGAGTTAGAACAAGCATTGGCATGTGCTTCCAACAACGCGAACGTAAGAGACCAATCCTTCCCAGTGTTCCCATAAATCAAACGGCTCAAAGAATCGATAACAACACCCCAGGGGGTGAAGTCGGTTTCGACAAAGCCGGAGGGACCGATAGCGTATTTGGGAACAGCAACGGAAGTAATCCTTTCAAAATCGCGCTCATGAGGTTCATGAGAGAAATGAACGAACGAATGGATCACAATGCAAAGGAGATTCACGCTTGGATTGATTAGATTCCTGGTGCACCACCAGTGTTAAAGGGTTTGGATTCAAAAAAGTACATGCAGTTACCTTTTAAGCCAAGTGCAGCACCAGAGTTAATTCCAAAATATCAGACATACCGAAGTACGATAGGACTTCGGATCCACAAGAGCATATCACAACCTACACCATGGCTGTGAAAGGAAATGATTTGGATCAACAAAAGATCGAGTCGGTCTTGTTGAAGAAGTTTAGGGAAACCCTCACAAAGGGGGCCTTGACATGGTACTCTCTTTTACCCGAGAATTCAATCAATTCTTTTGAAATTATTGCAGACTCGTTCATTAAGGCCTATGCCGGAGCAAGGAAGGTACAAGCCAGAAAGGCAGATATATTAGAATTGCGCAGGGGCGAACCCAAACTACTACGAGAATTTATGATCCGATTCCAAAAAGAAAGGTGGTATTGGCGGTTCCAGATGAGTGGGAAACGAAGGCATTCACAAAGGGTCTAAATCCACTAAGTTCCGATGCCTCCCGAAAACTGAAGGAGAGCCTGCTCGAGTTTCAGGCAACCACATAGGCAGATGTCCATAAACGCTATGAGTCAAAAATAAGGATAGAGGTCGATCAACTTGGGTCTTATGTATTGGCTAAGGCACGGGGTCAAAACCAAAGCCAGGACAAGTTTAAGAGCGATTTCGATGCTGATCGGCGAACCTTTAGAGGTCAGTTTCTACCGTACGAGAGGATCGATGGGCGTAAAAACAAAGAGTTTTAGACATCGGAATAGAAGAGTCGATCGTGGCCGGAACAGCAGGTTGTTGCGAGAGAAATTGGTGTCACGGGCCCGAGACTCCGCATATCCCAGGTTATCGGATTACAACTTCAATATCAGCCTAGTAGAGTTAGTATCAGGCGATGAGAAATATCAAAGAAGCACGGTTCCCGAAGCCAAACCGCTCAGGTCCTAGCTAGAGGGATCCCAGTTTATAGTGTGACTACTATGGAACTCATGGCCACAGAACTAGGGACAGCCGACATCTTCGCGAAGAGGTGGCGACATTGTTGAAAAATGGCCATCTCAAGACCGAGCCAAGATTAACTACGATCGAAGCGGGGACAATGCAGAGCCTTCGAAAGTAGCAGAAGGGTCACCTCGGATGACTATCAACATGATCTTCAAAGAACACAAAGTCAATAGTGTAACCTTTTCAGCAGCGAAGAAAACGAAGATATTGGTGACTCGCAACAAGAGACATCGGGAAGTCGCAGAAGATGATATCACCTTCATGGAGGAGGACACTGACGGACTTTTTTTGCCATACAATGATGCTTTGGTAATCTCTCTCAATGTTTAGATTTCAAAATTAAACTTGTTTTGGTTGACCCATGAAGTTCAGCCAACATAATATAATGGAGAGCAAGCAAAGTTAACCAGGGGCATCGTTCCGGTGACATAACTCTTAGTTGACTTCAACTTGACAAGCGTGACAACTCGAGGAGAGATTTTGCTGCCTACACATGCCAAAGGAGTAACAAAGACTACTCTATTCGAAGTGGTGGATGGTGATATAGGTTAC